TCGGAATCTGAATACAGCGACGAGCAGAAGCCAATGGATGCTGACGAAGATGAACATAAAGATGATGGGCAATGATGGCGAGCGGTGGGGACTCGAGGGGGCTTAGTACGCATATAAAAACAGAGAGATATTAGAAATTGCGCAAGAGATTTGAACATTTGAACATTGGCTGGCCATCGTGAAATTATATCAAGGTCAAGTCAAGTTGACACAGAAACCAATCGATTGAGCTAAATAATATTAATTGATGGATTTTGAAGTTCCAAGTGGAGCAGTCTGCACCGAAACAACACCATCAATACCACTAAGTGCAACGTCACCTGAAAATTTGCATGATAAGAAGCGATTGATTTCAAATTAATTCATTGCAAACTTGAACTTTGTTTCTTTCACATAAATGTACATTCAAATGCAAAGTGACTTGAAATAAGCACCATCCCTCTCCCTATAGCTTCGAATGAAATGCATTTTAGCCTATGGAAAATTTTTGGTTATTTATGCGCAAGTTGATCGATTGGTTATTACCGATTTGAATGGTTATATTGGTTGGCGCGCTATCGAACGTGGTGATGGGCAGCACTGGAAGTGCAATTATTCTTAAAACACCGATAGGTTCCGTCTATCGCATATAAATACCGATACAACTGTGTTTGTATTTATTGAGCACGTTCGCCAGGTTGTTGGTTGACCCTTTTAGTTTTAAACTAAGCATTCCAACAAAAGGAAGTCGTGAAAGCCAGCCAATCTTGTGGCGAATGTATTTTATAATCGTAGAAAATTGTAGTTCCACCGCTGAGAGTCTAAGTTGTATGGCAATATTAAACAGAATATTAAAATCGAGTAAATATGTCATTTACCGAGACCGCTTAACCTTCTGTTGACCCATGGGTGAAATTAATGAAACTTAAAGATGTTTAAAGCAGTTTAGCTGAAAGAAACGGTGCCCAATTGAATTTGTTCGTGAACAAGGGGGATGGGTGGCTACAATAAACATTTACAAGCAGTTTTATTTTGCCAATTTGGACAAAGTGCTTACCTATTTAAAATGTGGGCGTTCAGTGTGTTAAGTTTGAACAGTCACTCGGAATGAGCCATTCAATCCTATTCGCTGTGGCGATTAAATAAAATAAATAAATAAAGATATAACAAAAATGTTGCGGCAAACTCTGTTGGATCAGCTGAAACACTTCATAGAGTCAATCAGCAATGGCCACAACAACCCACAATTACTGACAAATCCCGCACTCATCAAGCTCTCGTAGGTTTGCCCCATTCCCACAAACAAATCAAATCAAATAAACATTCTCTTATCCAATCTGTAACTCACAGTCTGAGCTTCCTTGATGAGCTGCCATCGACGCGGGATTTGGTATTTGAGTACTTTGGCCTTCTGGCCGAGATCAGCGTGCAGCTGTATGTGTCGCCCGAAATGATGGACCAGAAGACGGGCCTGCCGGTGTCGCAGGTGAAGCAAGGCGGCAACCGCAAGCAACAGATGCGTGCCCAAGATTACGAGAGCTTCAACATGGTCAAGACAGCGCTCCAGCATATGGTGTGGAAAGGTCCGCCCGCCTGGCCACCGTTGATTGCCATGTGGAGCTTGGAGCTGGTGGCGAAGCTCTCGGACAAATATACGCAGCGACGCATGACCATCACGGCATCCTGCAACTATTGGCTGGAATGCAGCGCCATGCACGGCCTGATGACCCTCATCAACAGTTGCTTTCGCAAGCTAACCAACGCCGAGGAAGAGACTTGCGTGGAACTAATGCTCAATGCCTTCCACCGATTCCCCATGACCTTTGATTGGATTGTGGCACGCTTGGGCGGTTGTTTTCCCTACAAAATCATAATGCAGATTCTTCAGTGTGGCATCAAGCGCTTCGTGGACGACTATCGCTGTCATCTGGACTCTGAGGCCGGCATCTTGGACTACATGACGTCGTGTCATGAGCAGCAGCTGCGCGCCGCATTCCGGGAGATGCTCAAGGACGGCTTTGCTCCAAAGAAACCGCTCGATATCGCTGTGGTTCCGTTTCTACTAATCACCACAAACTACTCAGATGCGATACTCCAAAGCTTGGTCAATGTGCTCGTCGAGATATGTTAGTAGGAGTAAAAGCATTCCCCATTCTTTTGCTAATGTTTTCGCTTTCTTTCTGCAGACTCTGAGGATATGTGCGAAGTGATTATACAAAAGTCGCCGCTTTGGCTGAGCAACAAGATGTTTGCCGACATGCAGCCGACACTCAATAACGCAGTGCTACGGATGAACGAGCACGGTGCAACGATTCTTATTACGGCCGCCAAAATGGCAGAGAAGTTTGTGTGGTGTCAGGACTTTCTGGATAACTCCATGCAGGAGCTGGAGCAGTGGGTGCTCAATCAACGCAACTTCCCCCTTCTGGCAGATCTTGCCTATGAGGAGACAAAGTACATGCTCTGGAAGAGCTGTCTCAGCACGAACCTACTCGAACAGCAGACGGCTGTCCGTTTGCTGCTCGTTGTCTGTGAGTATGCGGCACAACTGTAGCCCCACAAAATGGATGATTATCCCTCTGCTCTCTTGTTTAGCCTCTCAACATCCTCATATATACTATCAGACGATATCCCAGCTGCTAAGGAAATCTTATGCACAGAATCCAAATGGAATTGGTGCCCTTATCCGGCTGCTTGGCGGACAAAGTGGCGTGGTGAACTTTCCCGGCTTTACGCCTGGCTTCGAAATGGTCTTGGAGGACATAACCCTGCACGTGCAAGTGAACAACCGTTTGCCCGTGCCCCCAGGCACACCCACAGAAGCGTACAATACATTCTCCAACCTCAATACGCTGGCAAAGTAATTTATGCGAATGAATTTTCCACTTGAATCTAACTTAGTTTTCCACCACAGAATGCACAAGAGCAAGAATGTTGCTGCCAACATTAGGTCCACACATTTAACCCAAGCCCTGAACGAATGTCTGCCCAAGATCGTGCAAATCTTTGACTGCACCGTCAACAAGCTGGTCCTGAAAATGGACAGGGATGCAGCCGAGAGCAGTGCGGCAAAGTTTAGGCTAAAACATTCCAATAATAATAAGCGCGAGGGCCTCTCCACGGACATTTGCAATGGCAATGGTTATGGTAAGCGGACCAAAACGGAGCCGGACTCGCACACAAACTCACCCCATAGCCCTGTCGATGATGAGGATGCATGCCGTATGCGCTTGGCTCATCTTATTGTGGACCTCTTGAACAATATTGATGGTGGATCCTCCCAGAATGTGCTGCGCACTCCAGTAGTCCTCAAGCTGGCGGTGCTTAGCGTGAAATATTTCTTTGTGGGTCTCACCGAGAAAAGTAAGTATGAAAGTTGCAAAGAAAAGAAAAGCCAAGCCAACTATTAATCTCTTTCCTCAGCCGTCATACGTCGTGCGGCGGCTGCTCATCGATCGTATGCCCTGCTGCAACGGCAATGCTCTGCCCGCAAGATTGCGCGAACTGTGTGTCTGCGGGAGCTTGTCGAGGGTGCCCTCTTCTATCACGGTCATCTGTTGGGCCAGCTGGAGGAGTACAAGTTGGACGAGCTGGAGATACCCGAACATGAGCTGCTCATTCTGCAAAACCTCCACACCAGCTCGGGGGCCAACTCGAATCGTTCGGTGCTCCACTCGGGCATCATTGGGCGTGGCCTGCGTCCAGTGCTGCCAACAAATGAACGAACGTGCGATGCGGAAACGCAAGCTCTGTATCTAAAGGCATTGAATGCCTGCTGTGCCGACTTGGTAAGCGATTCAATTGGTGTCTTTCATGCATCATTCATGCATGATTCCCCTTCTTGCTTCCTAGGATAAACCCAACAATGTGGAAGGTTATTCGCTGGTCTCACTGCTTCTGGTGGAGCTGGTCTCTACGGATGTCATGTACAATGGCCTGCCCTTCCCGGACGAGGAGTTTACTAAAGTTACCATGGAAAGGGATATGCAGATAAGGCGTGCCTTCATAACGTCCCCAGTTCTGTGGGCGGTCTTGGGTCTGATCGCGGGCCACAGACCGGCTCTTTGCTACTCGTCAGTGCTGCTGCGAGCCCTGTGCGCCACGTGCTTGCATCACTGGCGTGGCAAAAATGGTAAGACATTGGACAGCAATTTGAGGGAACCTTTAACGAAGTAGAATTTCTCAGTCAACAAATTTCAGGCCACTGCGTCGAATGATGAGCTCATGCTCTGCACGAAGAAGCTGCTGCAGCTGCTGGCCATGAGCCAACTGATCCCGCCCCCATTGACCAATCTGCATCTCATCATTGAGCACTTCGAGTCGGCTGAGGCAAGTTAAGAGCGCTAAGCAGATCAATCGGCATTGCTCATGTTGTCCCACATTTATATTGCAGATTGCCCTGCTGCTGCGCGAGTGCATCTGGAACTACTTAAAGGACCATGTGCCCTCGCCAGCGTTGTTCCATGTGGACAACAATGGTTTGCATTGGCGCAACACAAGTTTGGCCAAGGTGCCGCCTCAGTATGTGGACACGTTGCGGCATTTGATGCAAAGGAAACTCTCCAAATTGGGTCCACACTACCACCAAATGTTCATCATGGCCGAGCTAATGGAGAACAAGCCAGTGCCAGTTACAATGATGGAGACAGCAGTGCTGCCGGTTTCCAGGCTACAGATTGTGGAATTAGAATAAGCAGCTTTACGAGTGTGTGCGTGTAAGGTGTGTAAACTAAATGCAGTGTTTTGTATTTGTCTCTTTTATTTATTTTTATTTTTTTCATTGATAGATTTGTATATTAAAAATCTCAGCCTGGGCCTTCCGAGTCTGTGCACTGTCCAGCAGTTATTGATTCATCGGCGGCTGAAAAATGGTCTAATTATTTGATGAGTATTAAGAATATAACGAAGCCAACAACGATTTTCAATTCATTTGAACAGGTTTTTCTTTTATCTTTTATGTGTGTTTGTGTGCACTTCACTGCGATCGATCGTTGGGCACGACACGATCCTTCTTTCAATGCTCAGTACATCAGTAGTAACGACTAATTTACTCATTCATTTGATTCATATAATACACAGTATTGTCACATGGATATATGTATAACTCTCGGCTTGCGACTGCCGCACAACAGATGACTTTGAGTCTCTGCTGGTGGCGTTGCTGCCGCTGCCGCTGCTGCTGCTGGGGTCCTCTAGCATGCCTACTTTCTTCTATAGCTACAAAATACTCGGCGAATGTAGTAGGACATAAACAAAAAACGCGAAAAAAATGGGGTAAAACAAAACCAAAATGTTGCTCACAATTTGTTAACGAGAAGTTATGCTTTCTTTTACAATTAGCAGCTAGGTTAAGGTTCTTCGCGTGGCCAGCCTACGAGGTGCGGCAATGGCTCAGCTTGCGCACCGAGATGCAGGAGGTTAGCTTCTTTGCGCGACGCTTCAGCGCCGATCCTTTCTTCTTGGGCGGCATCTCGTCTCTGTTGCCATTGGCCGATGCTGCTGCTGCTGCAGCGGCACTTGTGGAGGGATGCTCGTACGGGTGGCAGGCAGCATGGGCTGCCGCTGACTGTTTTGCTCGTATCTCAGACGCGGCCGCTGCAGCTTGTCGCGCCAGCTCCTCTGCAAAAAAAAAAAAGATTATCAGTCACATATTGTATATGGATTGAGAGCACTTACGATTGACATCGTGCTCTGTGAAATAGACATCTTCCTGGTCGTGCTCGCTGCCATAGTGATAGGCTTCCAGGTAAGGCAGTACTGTGGAACATCGGTATTTGTCGCCTTTTAATGGAGGAATGGGTATCGGTGGGCCGGTGACCGTCGGTGCGGCAATGAACCAGCTGCAAGATAAATCATTTTGCTGAACAAACAGCCAAAGACCAAGCATACACAGCTCCGACTCACGTTTCCTTGCGTATCTGCTGCAGCGAGAGGCGGTCACTGGGATCTGCTTGCAGCATGCCTAAAATTAGTTTGGCAAAGTCTGGGTCCAGCTCGTAGAGCCAGTCGGGCGCCACCCACTGCGCGCGTCCAATATTCTCCAGCAGGCGATAGATATTATCGCCCTCGAACGGATACTGGCCGGTAGCCAAGTTGAAGCTGCAAATGAAAACTTATTAAAGAAACTTCTAGAGTTGATAGGCAATGCTTACAGTGTAACTCCACTGCTCCAGATGTCCACTTTGAAGCCAGCGAATGTTTCGTGGCCATTGGCAATCTCTGGCGGTTGAAATGCTGGCGAGCCCTGGCCCGTTGTGCATGTGTCGTCCGGCGAAAACAGATCCAATTGCTCTGCCACGCCAAAGTCCGATATCTTTAGTGTTTGATCCAGAGACAGCAGTAGGTTACCCGGCTTTATGTCCTTGTGTATAACGCGGCAGCTGTGCAGATACTCCAGGCCATCGACCAGCTGGTGGAAGTAGCCGTGCGCCTGGAATAATGGCATCTTTTTGTCGGGCTGATAGTCCACCATTTCCTGCAGTCCGCCCACGCAGTACTCCATCACCAAATACATTTTCTGCTTCTCCTCGTTGTAGAGAACATCCACAAGCTCCACAATGTTGGGGTGTTTCAGCTGCTTCAGCAGGTGGATCTCTCGCGTTACGTTCTGCTCGCCGTTGGGGATGCGTCGCAGCTTGCGCTTCGTGAGTATCTTGACGGCGAGGCGGCACAGATCCTCCGAGTTCATGGCCTCCTTCACTTTCCCGTACGAACCCTCTCCGAGAACATCGCCCATTATGTACTTGCCGACCATTTTGATGTTCTTTTTCTTCTGCTGATAGATTATGTCCTGGCTGTCGACGCGATTGAAGAACACATTGCCCATGTCCAGGGTGACGCGATCCAGTGTCTCGATCTCGTCGTCATCCAGCCAAGTGACCTGAGGATGTGGATGCTCTTCGAGCAGCTCGGGCTCGTTGTAGAAGCTTCCCGCAACGGCAACGCGATCTGCCGGTTCCTCTGCTTCACCATCCTTGAGTTCCACAAAGGCCTCGTCTATCTCGGATGCCGTGTCATAGTGAAAGTTTGTATTGTCTAGCAGCACGGTCATCTCATCGTCCACACCGTCTTCTTCCAGCGGCTCCTTGCCGGCGCCTTCGACAGACTTGCTGGAGCCGAGCTGCTGGCCGCCACCGCCTCCTCCTGATCCCTGATGATGATGATGTGGATGTCCTGCTTTGACTGGTGCCTCCATTGTGTTTGTGCTAGTCACAGTCATTTGGATACTCTCTGCTCCACACACGCTATTTGTAGGTATACCTATGTGTTATTTGTTTATATATGTAATCAACGGCAATACGACGCTCTTCTGCTCTCTCTCTCTCTCTCTCCTTGCTCCCTTCTCTGTTTCCGTCTCCGTATCCCCGTCACCGCCGCCGTCTCGTGGGCTAGAACTAGAACATTGCATAAACTTCCGAACTGCCCACAGCCCACCGCTCACATTGTGTGCTTCGTTTCACGGGGAGGGCGGGTCAGAGGAGGGCGCTGTTCTGCTCACCGATATGATCGGACGTTGACGACGGCAAGGAGCGGTGCGAGCACTTCGTAGGGCTCGTAAGCAGCGGCTCGCCTGGCTCCGAAAACGGCTCTTGAAAACCTTTTTTTGTGCCACACAGGGGCCGTGTACTTCCGTGTATTATCTTGGCCAAGCGCTGGCTAGTGCTACGCGCTGTGGGCCCACTGGTTTCGTGTGTGTTTATTTTTTTAATCAATTCGCACCAATACATCCAAAACAACAGATTCAGATTTCTCGAATTCTCAAAATTTGTACATTTTGTGTTTACTCTCAAGTGAGTTTATGGAGAATATCGATATATGGTATCGATGTACAGAAATGTCAAACTGACACTGCGACCAGGGCTGGCGACAGGGCTGAGAATTGTTGTTAAAAAATGCAAGAAGTGACAGAGGAAAAAGTAGGCTAACCACACAAATTACATTTATAGAATCCCCACCGATTAAAGCAATCAAAACGCAAGTCATGGCCACTGGAATAACAACCAAGGAACGCCTGGAGAGGCTAATGGCCGCCAAAACGCAGCTGGAGGCTCAAATCAGTAGAAATGGACAGATTTTGGCTGCAGTAAGTAAACTAAGCTCCAGCGGCTGATTGCTAAACAATGCCATCACAAAAATTCTTTCAGAACGACAATGTTGGCATGACCGGTGCCTTGATCGACGCCGAAGGGTTCCCGCGCAACGACATCGACGTCTACCAGGTGCGCCAGGCCCGCCAGACGATAATTTGCCTGCAGAACGATCACAAGGAGCTGATGAACCAAATCCAGAACCTGCTCAACCAGTACCACAGTGAGATCGCCACCACCGACCCCGAGTTGGTGAATCGTGCCTCCGCCTTGGAACTGGACAGCGACAGAGCGTTTGGTGGATCCATTGTTGCTCCTCCCGATATTCGACCCATGGTTGTGGTCAATCTTGTTAGCCCTAATTCCCCGGCTGAAGAGGCGGTGAGTAGGACTAAAACCCAACACACAATGCGCCTACATCCTGTCTAAGATTATTCCATTTGCCATTTGCAGGGCTTGCGCGTTGGCGACTGCATCTGCCGCTTTGGCTCTGTTAACGGCAACAACTTTAAGGGAGATCTCGGCCAGATTGGCGAGATTGTCAGAAACATGCAGAACCAGAACGTCCAGCTCAAAGTCAAGCGCGGCGAGCAGCTGATGGATCTGCTGTTGGTGCCAAAAGCATGGAGTGGACGCGGCCTGCTGGGCTGTAACATTGTGCTGCCCCCAGAGTCCATGGAGCACTAATTTATTATTTAAACCTGCATGCATATACATTTGATGCATTTAATTATTAATTCATGGCCAGGCCACAAGAACATTATTTGTACTAAATTGTAAAAATTGATTTAGCTTCGTTTCCCAACCAAACTGCGGTCATTTCGAGTGACGGACGTCCCCGGCTTCTGGGTCACTGTGCCATTAGGTGGGATGGTCAAGGAGAAGACTGACGACAGCATAAATATAAATGGCCCTAATTGAGGTGGAGCAGGGATGCATAATTAATACACATTAAAGAACGAATTTTCTAAGATAAAATAAATATTTTCGAGTTTCAAATTGGTTGCTTCCTTTCTTATTCCCCCCAAATGACGATTAAAGCTTGCGCCTAACAGCACGCTAACGAGAAAGCTTTTAGAGAGCAAAAGCGCAACGGCATTTCGGAACAGCGCGGCTGGATGGGATGCCCGACTCAACCCTGAAGCTGACAATCCGCACAGGACACAGGCTCCAGCAGCCCCAACTGTCAGTTTGTGCGCCGTAGCAGAGCAGTACTCAAACTCAGCTAAAGTCGCGTGCATTGCGAACGGAACGCAACCGAAACTGTGCGTGCCAAGGAACAAATTGAGCTGTAGTGAAAAAATTACCAGGCGGAAAATTTTACTAATTTTCGAGTGATAAATAAGAGGATCTCGGTAACGAAGATATTCCCGAAAATTGGCAATTACGCTGTCTAATTTGTCGAGGCATTGAGAATATGTGTATGTGTGTGTGTTTTATATAATAATAGAAGGGAATGGAATGGAATGGCATTAATGTGTGCTAGCTGGGAGGATGTACGGTATTTTTTTCGCTCAGCTCTCGACAGGCGACGAGGGCAGACGCATACAGCAAATGAATGGCACTGCGATAGACGAAGTGGATGCGATGGAGGGAGGGAGGGAGGGAGGAGCTCTTGATAGTGTCACTGTCATTGCCAGTGCACGGCAGAAGAGCAGAATGGAGTCCTGTGGTGGGGGAGGCTGCGCGATTCCGATTGCGGGTGGGCAAATAGGTTAACAAATAATGCGGATAATGGCCGTGCGAACAGCAGAGTACTCCTTATGCTGAGGCAAACTAACAAAAAAGTTAACTAAGGGCGGACTTGGACGCGGCATGGCACGCTTGTGTGTGTTGTGGCATCCTTTGCGAACCTGGTGTCTGTGTGTGTTTGTGTGTGTACAAATGCTGGCAAACCACCCCAACAGACCCCACACGGCCCAGGACCAACATTTTGGTTACCCAATAAATTAAAAAGAATACCGAGTGCGTGGTTCTGTGTATCATGCACGGGTATGCATGAATGTGTGTATGCGTGTAAGCTTCAACGCGCACACACAAAGTAAAGTTCTTCTCCACGAGCATATGAATGCTCGATTCGAGAGTATGTTGGCACTTGAATAATTCAGAGATACTGCAATGGCTATTGGATGGCCAAATTTAAAAGATGCCGCATCGTTTCCATTGTTAGTCAATAAGAAGCTCTGTTCTGGCCGCAGAGCGTGCCACTGCCCCCCAGCCCACACAAGCTCAAAGCCACTTTCTGATTTACTGCTACGCTGGAGCTTTCGTTCTGGCTGTTGCTTTCTCATTATCCCGTTGCTTTAATAATTCACCAAATACAGTTACCGCCGAATCTGAAATTGCCTGCTTAGCAGTTTCACGCTTTGCCAGCTTCCAGTTGCCAGTGCGTCCACAAATCCAGGCGCTTATTTGCGAAGGACGCGTACAAATAAATTTGTAATTTGCATGTTTGCATTGGGTACACACACAGAAAAAAAAACCGACGCAGTTCAACTTTCAATAATTTGGTTTATTATATTAGTTTCCGAGAAAAATGAAGTGCTGTGTTGATATTGATGGCCAATGTTGGAAAACGAAAACTTGTTTCAGTGTACGCGAGCTGTGTGTGGGCTGGCATAGGCCATGTATAGTTTTGTTTAGCAGGATGTGGATGATGATAGATTAGTGCGATGCATCAATGAGGCAACCAATTAGGCGGGATGTGGAGAGGAGATTGCATCCAGCCGTTGCCACACACTGGGATCTATTTTTAGCTTGCCCCAGTGCAACTTGCCATAAAGACTAATTTATGTCATTTCCACACACCCAACGCAGCCAGAAGCCCCTCTCCGTCTGTACCCCGGTTGAAGGCAAGTGCGGCGTAAGTGAAGCCGAAGGACACTGCAAAAGCCCCGCCAACGAGATGCCACCGCTGTGCATGCGACATACCGTCAGAAGCAGCAGCAGCATCAACAGCAGCATCCTTGAAAGCTTTGCGTCCTCTGCCAGAAGGAAGACCACCACAACTGAGGGGCAGGAGGTAGTTGCACTTGCAGTCGCAGTCGCAGCATGGAATGCATCAAAGGTGGCAGAAGTATAAATAACACAAGGACATGGACGGCGCAACGAACGCGACGAGGACAAAGGCCCACGGCAACGGTGAAAGCACCACCAGCATCCATTGCGAGCTGTGACCGTGCAGCCACTAGGCCACTAGGTTCCCATTGCGGCTAAATGACTAGATTCAGATTCATAGTCGAGAGACATTATTTGTAATGCAATCAGGACAAGGAGGAAAGTGCTAAGTGAATTGTGCCGTGCCCAAAAACTTAAGTGCCAGTGCCGCAAAGGCGGCAGCGACTAACCGTTACGTGGCAGAGAGCGCGAGCGGCAGGAGAAGAGAGGAGAGAGCCAAGTGAGAGTGCAAGAGAGGTGTCAGTCGTGTTGTTGGCGCTTAACCCAATTTAAAAAGTTTGTCCTTTGAACGAACAAGCGAGCCCCTGACAGTACCAGCGGACAGTGCGAGTGGCACATATGGAAGGCAGCGGCCGGACAAGTTGCAGGTGCAGCCAGAACTCCAGCAGCCGCAGCAGCAGCAGTAAGCAGCTATACCGCAAGCGGAGGCGCCGCCAGTGAATGCCACATTGCCAATACAAATAACCCTCGCCTAAATGAAGAATGAAGAAACAAAATGTGCGCACGATATCCTTGATCGTGTGTACATTTACGTATCTGCTAGTCGGAGCCGCTGTCTTTGACGCACTTGAATCGGAAACGGAGAAGCGTCGCTGGGAGGCGCTGCAAGGTGAGTGCCCGGCCCGGCCCGGCCCGGGCCCGGGCCCAGGCCATTGCCATTGCAAGTTACGTCACAAGCTAAGCACTCGTGTAATTTGGTTGCAATTGCAGATGCCGAGGACATGATAATACGCAAGTACAGCATTTCGCCGGAAGACTTTAAAGTCATGGAGACGGTGGTGCTCAAATCGGAATCGCACAAGGCCGGCCAGCAATGGAAGTTCACCGGCGCCTTCTATTATGCAACCACAGTGCTAACTACCATAGGTAACCATGTCGTCACGTTAATTATGCTTTAACAATGAATTATTCATGTCTTTTATGTGCGAGCAGGCTATGGACATTCAACACCCAGCACTGTGGGCGGGAAGCTCTTCACCATGTGCTATGCCATTGTGGGTATTCCCCTGGGTCTCGTTATGTTCCAGAGCATCGGAGAAAGAGTGAATAGACTGAGCAGGTTGGTTGGCTCACTGTCTACCCCCTACTGATGCTTGCATACCTAACTAACCATTTCCACAGCTATGTTATCCAAGCAGTTCGCACATCGCTGCGTTGCAAACGAACTGTCGCCTCGGAGGTGGACCTCATATGCGTTGTGACGACGCTTAGTTCGCTGACGATAGCGGGCGGTGCTGCAGCCTTTTCAAAATTTGAAGGCTGGAGCTACTTTGATTCAGTATATTACTGTTTTATTACTTTAACTACAATAGGTAAGAGCTCCCACCATCCATCAAAACTCAGTAGATAATGGTTACTTGTTATTTTTTCAGGCTTTGGCGATATGGTAGCCCTACAGAGGGACAACGCACTGAATAGAAAGCCAGAGTACGTGATGTTTGCATTGATATTTATACTATTTGGGCTGGCAATCGTGGCCGCATCGCTGAACTTGTTAGTGCTTAGGTTTGTTACAATGAACACCGAGGATGAGCGACGTGACGAGGCGCAGGCCATGCAGGTGAGAAGATCAGAGCCGTCACAGCGGACTCCAAGCAACTCATGCAACCAACTCATTTGTTACCGTAGACTTGAGGACTGTTTTGGTCATTCCTATGATTATTAATACAATTACGAGTACATTTACCAAGTCGAGATAATTCAGTTTCGCTGTAAATTCCCTTGGTAGTGTAGTGAATCGCTTTACTCTCCAGTTTTATCCTAATATCAAAGCTTCGCTCTACCTGTTCACTTGTGTAGAATCTTGACAATAGATTATGTACAACTTTGTTACGTTTATTGCAATTCTACTCGAATAATTTCCATCTCATTTCTCTCATGTCGAATCTTGAACTTTGAACCTTGAACCTTTACTTCAGAAACTTGTTAAAATTATTTCTAAATTGCTTTGAATATCTGCTTGCCACTTTGCTGCACACTCACCACACCGACTTACTCTTGATAATCATGCACCTTAATTCGGTATCTTTTTCAATCATTTTTGAAGTACTTTTGTGCAATTTGCAAAATAAATATTTTGTACTGTATTTGGAACCAATTAATTTCTACAATTTATTCAATGCAGGCCAATACGAGAGCAACTCAATGTAAAACGAATTAATATTTTCTTTTTTGGCATATTTTCGGTTGCTTTTGACTTAACGAACAAATCAAAATGCAAAAAAACGCGAGCTTAGTTTATGTCCAAGTCCAGTTTATGGACCAACGAGGTGATTGCAGTTTTCGATTCCCATATATTAGACTTAACTCTAAACTACAACCACAACTTCACCACCTGCTTCTGTACCACACTGAACAACTACAGCAACAGAAACAGCAACAGCCACAGCTACAGCCACAACACCGACATCCACATAAACACACACTCTCGCCACAGCCACACAAATCCAGTCCCGAATAAAATAAAACTGAGCCCCCTCTACGTTTTCCACGCTATATACTCAACCTCTACTCCACATTCTGCACACTCCTGCGTAATTTAATATAATAATTAATGCCGATATCCATTACAGGCACTGCAAGTGGCTGTCAAGCTGGAGGGCGATGTGATAACATCCAACGGGTCCATACTGAGCGGCTACGAGGGACACGACGGCCAATCGCTGAACGGATCAAGTGCGTCATCCATGTGCTCGTGCCATTGTGTGTGTCTTAATAGAAACCGACATAAAAAGTATGTAATCCGTAGCAGTACACTTTCTCACACGTCAAAAAAAGAAAAGGATTATGAATAGGCCAATTTACGTTGCACTTGTTGTTGGAGTGCTTGGCGTGAGACGCGTCGGAGGGTGTGAGGACGTTTCCTGCTCTATTATGACAGATAAAGAAATAGAAAAGACATAACGCTTTAAGGAAGGCCACAATCTGAACCAATCAGGAGACTCTATTTAGTTCAAGGGACTTGTGGGAGTACCGAACTGTTTTTCTTTAATCTATTTACATTTCAATTATCTATAGAAGATTGTTAAGAATGGTCAACACATGTCTATTGCACATTGTTTAATATATTCCAATGTTTTCGCATCGCTTTATTAATGCACACAAATGCTTTTACCTTACATTTCTATCGATTTGCATACGTGGACACAGGAGTAACCACTTAGGCAGAAACAATGATACAGAGTAAGCTGTTCCATCTCTCCATTGCTCACTTATTACCCAAACGCTTCCTTTTTCAACAGAAATCAGTACAGGCTACAGCGATCGCCCACACACATAAGGCATCTTCTGCCCGAGGTTGTTCCCATGCAGGATTTAAACTACGACTACGATACACAAAGTGTGCACTCAATGCCGGATCGCGGTGTCATGGATAGCAACTACATGGGCGTCGACATGGTGGACACTGCGAGCAGCGGTTCCCCCTTGCGGCCACAGCAATTGCTCAAGCGCAATGTCTCACTTCTATCTTTTCGCATCTAGGAGGAGTACGAGGTGATCCAGTGGCAGCCAGGACAGGAGAGGAGCAATCGCAGAGTGAGGATAAACAGGGGGAGCAGAAAGCAGGAACAACGAAGTGGCGGCCCCACCCCTTGGACCTGCCCTCGCCAAAACAAAAAACGACTTACAACTTGAAAGTGATAAAAAGGCTCTAATAGTACTTAAAACTTATTTAGATTCGAAACCGAATGTAGGACGAGACATGCAGTTGGGAGGATTATCTATTGAAAATGCGCAATTTATGTGCGCACCGCGAGATGCTATTTATGTGCATTTACAATGTAAATTAGTGCATAAATCTATAAACAAAACTTGCAGTAGGCATGCCTAGCGACTAAATCTAAATGTTTACATACATTTACAATACTTACAGAACTAGAGCACTATAAAATTGAAAGTAAAACCACTGCCATTTCCGAGCGAGAGGAGATAGAAGGTGAAAGCTATGCAAAACGATTACGATGTGTCTCGTATGTTTATGAAGCGGTTCCCACAATGTTCGTATTTCTTTCGAACACACATTGTAATGCATATTAGGTGCTGCCTTCCACAGAAACAACTGCGGGTTTCACTTTGCTGCTGGAAAAGCCTTCGAAAACCGCATCTACTCACATAGTTCGACTACCATCAAAAAAGGCATAGAAATTATCAAATTAAAATTCTGTAAATACTTGATAACGGATCAATGTTAGATAATATTTAATAATCCATTTTATTCCAACTTATATTGATTACTAATTATGTACTGTTTGACTTCAAACTTGATATTAGTTTACGATTAGTGTGTACGCATATTATAGCTAGTAGTCGACAAAATGCAAATCTTATCCAATCCAACCAGGTGTCAAATACTAATGTAGCTTTTCAGCCACTCACAAAACATTTTTGTAGGCAGCTCCAGTGCTCAAGTGTCTCCACGATGTGCCAAAGAACCGACTCGTACACACGTTGTACGTGAGTTGCAGACCGAATCCACTATGTGGATTCATACAGTCTCAGACCAGAACCTCCCCAGTCGCATTTATGCAGTGTGCATTTAGTTTTAGTTGTAGATAATGGCGAAATGAATTTCCAAATCATAAAACAAATAATTTAGGCATTTGTTAATTTGTTCACAGCATTTTGTATTTAAAATACAGTTCACAAGATCTGTTCTAGTTAGTTAGTCGATGCATTTTGCAAAAAGCAATTTTTTTCCATTGCTCACTCGAGACGTCAAACGCTTCAAAATCTTTTTTGTCCTTATGTGCTTTGTATATGTATATATGAATGGTGTTTATGTATATTCAAATGAATAATATTACTTTCAAATAATGATATATATTGTTACAGCAGAAAACTATGCAAGTTTTAAAACTTAGTTTTTGCTATTTGATTTAAATGTAAAATTTTTGTAATGAAAATTATTTCTTTAAACATTTTAAATATTTATATATAACAAATTGCAACCAGTACTTGTGGCAAAAAAAATGCCCGCTGGTATTCTTTAAATTCAGCATAAGAGCAAAAAGGAAATTTTAATTTTAATTCAAGCTAATCAAATAAAATAAGACTTTGTAATATACTTATATTCCAGGATTGCAAACAAACAAACAAAAAACAACAATTAAACTAATTTATATATGAGTAGTTGATGGCGTTTTCAATTTTTATAGATTGTTGGGTTTTTGTTAGCATAATTTATAAATTAAGTAAACATTTTGCGAATGGCGGAGCACCAGACTCTCCGTTTTAAAAGGTAAAGTGTCAGCGAAGGTGAAGTCCGGAGCCTGCCTTTTTGTATCCTGATGTCTTCTCAGTCTTCAAATGATGTTGCTCAATATCGCCAGCGTATTTAGGTGCACCATTTTCCTGAAAATTGTTTTCGATATTGAAATATCATGCTTGACGACTTTAATTTGTGTTGTGACTCAAGTATTAGCCCAGCTTTTCTCTTAAAAATTTGACTCACTGTTAAGACAGATTTAATTAAAAACAAAATTAATATTTATATGTATCCGTATTTATTGAAATTTCTCATTTGTATAGACAATTTAAGTTCTTTTTGCTGCTACAAATATGTTACAGTATTTTTCTCATCGGCAAGAATGTTGTTTTGCCTTGCGATGTGCGCTGTGCAGCACTCGACTAAATGTTCCCTGTCGGTTTTTCTCTATTGTTTTGTGCCCAGCGTTGGGGCAGCAGATTGTGTGGATTGTGTCGAGTGTGGCGCGGCGAATCGAAAAACATAATTTTTAAATATTAAAAAATATGTTAAGTGGATTTCTTTTGTTGCTTGATTTCTTCGTTATCGTTAGCTGTGTGTCTGTGTGCCAGTGACGCAGGGTTAGAGGATAAGGTGTCTGTGTGGATGTTTGTAGAATAGTTATAGTAAAAATCTAAAATCAAGTGTTTTAATATTAATGGGACAGCTAACTAATCTAATCGTCCATGCTCTCGTTATTGCGGTCCGGTGAGGCATTTCCGTTTTTAGGCGAGGCCGAACGGGAGCGGGAGCGCGAACGCGACTTGTTGTCAACGGAGGCGGAACGATCGCTGCAATGAAGAGGGGCGAGGAGAACATTAGTATTTATTTCATGGGTTTTTGTGCAGCCAAGGTCGAAGGACTATGCATAAGACGAACGAACGAACAGACGTGCATCCAAACACAAAACCAAAGAAAGCACGAAAGAAAGAATTTTACAATATAGTGCCAATCGGATCTGAGATCCGTCTAAACTTACCGTGAACGAGAGTCGCGATGGATCGACTTGGAACGTGAACGGGAGCGTGACTCACGCTGCTTCGAAATGGAGCGAGAACGAGAACGCGAATCACGCTCACGCTTGGGCGAACGGGAACGAGTGCGCGAGTGGGACTTTGATTTCGACTTGGAAACATCACGCGATTTGCTGAAATACACAAAGGCGAACCCAATAAGTACACAATTATTTCTACAGCGTATCCTTCTACTTACTTTGAGCGTGAGCGGGAACGAGAGCGCGACTTAACGGGCGACTTGGACTTGGAGCGTCCACCACGGGACTTGGAGCGGCTGCGAGACTTGGAACGCGAGTGCGAAGAGCGACGGGAGCGAGAACGCCTGCGGGAGCGAGAACGTGAGCGCGAGCTGGATGAACGAGAACGACCACGTCCGCCGCCGCCACCACCACCACTAGCACCACCGCTGCCACCACCGCTGCGTCCTCCACGACGATCCTCCACCAAATGCACACGTCTGCCATTCAGCTCTGTGTCATCGAGCTTCTCAATAGCCGTCTTCATGTCCGACAAAGAGGCAAACTCAACCACGCTGCAATGCAAGAGTAGATAATTGTTAGAGCTGCGCTTGGATTTTTCGCCAGCTAAAAACTTACCCTTCATTACGACGCTGCTTGTGCGCATCCGCATAGGTAACCTCGCCAGCCTGACGCATGTAGTCCTTCAGATCCTGCAGATTCGGACAAATTAGGAAGAGAAAGAACATGATTAGTTATGGGTCGTGCAAGATGTCTTATAGTCCGCATCTGATAGTGGAAAATCAAAGGAGAACGCATGCAGCAGATGAAGTAGATTGAATATTTCCATATCGGAGTCGGACTCTCGCTCCCGCTCTGTGTGTGGCATGAGTGGAACATGCCTCCTAACCCTCAGTCTCTGTCCCTCTTTTAATGCCTGTGCCCGAGTCTGTATCTTCTTTCCTTTTGATGCCTGCGCCTGCCTATAGTGGAAACTGACCCTCATCATGTAGGTGGATGTGGGCACCCGGCAGCCATCAGCCAGCAGCCAGTTGGGGGTAGGGAAATATTCAATACTCCTTGCTGCACGCGTCACAAGAACTTAGGCATAAGTAGATAATCATATATAACAAACAGTATTTCGTAATTGATATTTTTTGGAAATAAATAAAAGTAAACAAAAATATATTTGTAATTGAGTTCTTACTTAATGCGCTTTCAGAGAGAGGACGGACACACACATCGTTTTTATGGTTATCGCTTAACACCGAGAGTTTGGATTGTCTGTCTAGTAAGATGTGGACCAATGGGGGACACCACCTCATCGAAAGGGCGTTTAGCGAGCAGTCATGAGCGCTCCGATCGAACATCGATTACATAACCAGGCAGGCGGCAGCCAGTAGCCAGTAGCCAGAAACCAGAATACGCACGTACGCACGGGCAGGCAGACAACATTGAGGGGATGGATGCATAACCGCCACAGCCTTAGCCAGATCTTGCATAATTTTTGTGTACAAATTTATAATTTTTATATTGCAAAAAGTATTAGCTCTTCAGATTTGGACCAGCAGCCAACGTTGGAGGGAGGAGTCGCCGGCGGGATACAGTCAGATCAGACATCGCTAGTCACAGACACAGTCGCCGGATGCCTGTTGCCGGAGGCGGGATTTAGTGGTCAAGAGCGAGCAGTGGCCGTGCTGTGGCCATGCACTTGGGCAGCACAACCAGTCATATAGAGGCAGTCAACCGGGCAGCGGAGGCGTGGCCAGCGTGCATCTCTCACGCCGCTTCACAGAACGAACTGCAAAAATAAGAAATACGTTTTGGACAGCCGCCCCTGCCTCTGAGGCGTGGGCGCTGCTGCTGCTGCTACTGCTACTGCTGCTGACGCGTGTGACGACGACATACGGCAGGTGCTTGCTGCTCCAAGCGGTTGCGGTTGGGGTTGTCTAGTCAGTAGCCTCAGCCAGAAGCTAGAACCAGGTAGGAGAATAACCTCGGATGCGCTAGACGTTTGTGGCAACTGTTTTGTGCGTTCTGTTCTACGCGAGTCGACCAGCTTCATCATGCTCATCCTCATTCTCATTTCATCTCATCTCATCGTCGTCGCCAAGATCATCATCAACATCTCATCTGATTAACAAAACGCTTCGCTTCGCTTCTTTTCGTTTCTCTTCTGTTCTCTTTTCTTCTAACCATATTCGAGCAGATTTGCACCCTCTCACACTCACAATTGCTATAAGGAATTTGACAATTCTTTACATAATGTTTTTGTAAATTAATTGTAAATTTTTAACAATTAAATACCTAACGCAAGAGGCAAGCCTACGCACGTGGGGCAGGTGTACACGCACTGGCAGCAGTGCGTAGGCTAGTCTTTTGGCATGGCAGCATTTTTTGAACCACTTAAATCTCAGCAATGGACCCTCAGGCCAGCGTCGGCCATCGTCTTTTGGTCTGGTCTGGTCTGTTTTTGGTTTGACTCGTTATTGGTATGGCGGGCGATGGCGCATCTTGTTCAGACCCAAGCGGAGCGACGATGATAATGAAGCACAGTCTATTGGGATGCGATGCTCTAGTGGTGCCGTCCGTGCTTTCTCTCTCTCCCTCTCTCTCTCACTCTTTGTCTATCTGTGTCTGGGATTTGCCCACACATCTTGGGAGGATGACAACGACAACTCTATATTAATTGTCATTACATCTGGCTTCGGATTCGTATTTAGATTCATTTTAGCCAGACTCTGTACCTCTGTGTGGTCAGGTCACTCTTTCACTCTTTCAAGCAGCCCTGCCTGGGCTGGGCTCTCGCGGCAGTAACAGTACTCATCACATCAAAAAACTCTTTGTTCGGTGTTCGGTACGGTATAGTTGGTTGGTGTGTGAGAGAAATAATTGTGGGTAGATTACGCCGATCAGTACCAGAGTTTAGCATAGTTGTATGTAGTAAAGTGGTTTACATTTTGACTTAAGACTAGGTCAACTGTACAGCTTAGTGATAACTAAATGTTAACGGTAGTTTCTGTTCGGATGGGTTTAGAATGGGTATCGGAAGCAAACAGAAAAAACGGGTACACCATAGTTGAAATACGGGGGGGGGAAAAGGATTCAAATTATAAAAGAGTAGTCGAAACCGGAGTTGGATATAGAAGTTGGGACTGGATTGGATTAGTGATTTCTCGGATCCGTTTCAAGTGTTAACTACGTTCCTTCGTTTTAGAAGTTCTAAGCTACAGTAGATACAAAACCAAACGCTGAGCAACGAGCGTGATGAATGCACTTACCTGCCAGCTGACGCGGCTTGATAAATTCTCAACAATCAGGCGGTACTCGGTGCGTAATGGCGGCCCATAGCGGGAGGATGATCTGGAATTTTTGTTTCTGGTGAATAATTGAATGGATTTACAAATTAGTATGACACTGCGCTGCTGCTGCTTCCGCTGCTCCATCTCAGATACAGTTACAAAAAATAGAATGTATATTTTAATATTTACATAAAGAACGCATGATAGTAGGATAGCGCGGAACAAAACAAATTAGAATTACATAAGATAGCGTGCAAATGTCAGTACAAATTATAGTTCTCATAGCAGTAGGAGGAGCTAAGGAGCGCTTCGCGATAAAACAAGAGTATAAAAACAGCAAGTCAGTGTCTTTCAGTCCCTTCCACACTGAGGATTCTAGCATTCAGATTATATCCACACCGCTCATTGGCGGCGGGAGACATTTGAAACACACAAATCGCTAATCGCATCGGTGTGGAAGGGATATACAGGCGAAATACAAGTTAATAAATGGGGGCTGGTTCTACTTGAACTGGAATGTTGTAGAACAGAATCTTCGCTTATGAAGTGGGTGACTTTTTTTAGCCCAGCCTGTACTTACTTGTCATTGTAGCGTCCGCCTCCACCGCGGCGTCCGCCGTAACGATCGTCGTAACGATCGCGATTGCTGCCACGGGCTGTGCCTCTGGCGGGTTCAACAACCACGCTGTAAAAATAGAATATTGAGGATAGAGTTTACGCGCGCTTTTCGTGAAACTCACCGCTCTCCTAGCAGCTCTTTGCCATTTAGCTCGTAGACGGCATCATCGGCGTCACGATAATCTTCAAATTCCTGCAAATTAAATTATGATTTTGGTATTGATTTTCATCAATCGCTTTTCCACTGCAAACACTTACCACAAAGCCGTAGCCGTTCTTAATTAATATGTCGCGAGTCCGGCCATAGCCTTTAAAGAAACGTTCCAGATCGCGCTCCCGTACTCCGTACGGCAGACCGCCCACGTACACTCGTGATCCAACCATATTTCTGATGCTTATGTGTCTTTAGCAAATGCTGCAAAACGAAAGAGAAAATTTTCAGGTTCTATTTTGCTCGATTGTCCCGCAGACGTCTCCAAGGCAATACAGCTGCAATTCATGGCTTGCGTATGTGTGTGTGCGTGTGCCCAAGTGTTTTGCCAAGATGGCGGTGCCGCCAGGTATACACGCACACGTATGCATGTACCACGCGTATGTGTGCATTGTACCGGGTACAGAACACGGCAAAATAATCAATAGCTGGATGGATGTGCGTTTGGTGTGTGCATGCACGTGCATTCGTTTATTTGTTTAACCTACCGTTTACTAAAGGATTTTTGCACTAAATTTACAATCCACAGTCTTTTTTAAACACTTAATATCCACTTTTGCGAGTCACGAAAAAATGCAAAACCAAATTTCTCAATGAAAACGGAAGTATATATTTTGCTCGAGTTGGCAGCGCCGCCCTGTCAGCGGAAACCCAGTGTGACCGTGTATTTTTCAATCATATACCGCATGGCACTCAAAAATATACCTAAAATACCGAGTCAACAACAATTTTTCATTTTGATATTCCATTTAATATTACCAGCTAGTAAAGACTCTCAGCGCCAAAACTAGAATTTTATTAGATTCAATCTAATTTTAATCAATTCATTCAATCGTTCAATCACTGCTGCTCACTTTTCGTAGCATACTGCTGTCGAATCCAAATTTTTTATTGCCAACAGTAAGTGGGAATGGAACCTAATGTTCCCGCTCTCTCGAGTTGGCAGCGCCGCCCAGACAGCACATTTACGCCGCCAAATATCGATACTTTGGTCGACCTGCTACTTTTCGCTACCTCACTGTCGGACGAATGTTCCCGCCAAATAACATTTATCTCGCAAAAATACCAATGACATTACAGTTGAGATTTATTTGACTTATTTATTTAAAGCTTATTTTATAAACAATCCGCCAAAACACACACTCCTATTGGCTAAGACTGTGACAGTCTGCTGACCTCCAGAGATATGCCATCTGAGTTGATCTGTAGGCCCGCCTACACCCACCCAATCGGGAAGATTTAGAATCGAACCACCAAGTTAACTTTCTGGTGGCACTACCGCAGTGTCATACTCATCCGAAATGCCCCACAAATCCTGCTGACTCTCCATATAAAGCTTTTCAAAGTCGCCTGACTGTGCGAGGGGCTGTAAAAAATATTCTCCAGTGTCTTCGACAACAGATAAAGGCATTGGCTGAGCAAAGGTGGCTGGTAACGGCTCAGGGTGCTCAGTGTCCAGTTGCAACATATCCCCCGACGAGTCCAATTGCGTTAAAAGGTCCACCAAAGACGAGACAGAAATAGGCTGGGACTGGGACTCACGTTCACTCTTCCATTGATCCAGTCGAATATTGTTGCGCTTCTTTAGCCAACTTCTGTTGATTAGATTGCTACGGGCCACTTCTTCATCAGTGTACGGTTGCACCATTTTCCTGACCACCGACTTGATGAGCATGCGGTTGATGTAGCTCTCCGAGCGATTGTCCAAACGGCGACCAAGCCACTCCTTGGCGTCCCATAAGCAGTTGTGCTTCCTCAGGTTGACGCGTACTTTCGTACGCAAACAGAGCTCCCTCACCTCCTCCGGGCTGTACTCTCGATGCAGATCCGCAGGGGTGATCTTCTGCATGGATGGATTAGATTATGGATTATATGTGAATGCTTTTGTTTTGATTTTGATTAGTCCTACTTACGCATGTCTGATACACTTTGAGAGCCAATTCCTTCTCGCCGTCATCGCTTATGCTCATCAGGCTCTTCTCGACCTCGGCCTGGATCTTGGTGAGATAGTCTGGTAGTCCTGTTTCAGACATGGCGTAACTTCTTGTTTTATAAAAATAAGCGTAACCAACAATTTCCTCAATGCTTTTTCCCGCTCAAGACAATTTGTAAATAAATACAGCCGCACCAACTAATGCACCAAAATACTGGAACTGGTATTTTACTACTGCAAAAGTGAAAAAAAGAGACTTTTACTTGTTACTAGTTTTGTATAATCAATAAAATAAAGAGAGCCTTGGAAATTAGCCAATCGTATATAAATTTATTTCACAATTGCATACAATTTTAATTTCAGTATTGAGATTCCCAAATGTTAGTAATGCATATTCACGATATATTTTGAAAATGAGAGGTATATTTCTGAGGGTCAGGCGGTATTTTGTATCGATAAATACGCGGTCATACTAATCGTTCACTGCTGGGGCTTGGCTTAGGCTTGTGAAAAAGTGAATTTATTGAAAAGTTTTTTACGTCAAACTCGTGCAGTTGTGCAAATACAAGTACAATGGCTGACTTAAATGACTCCAACGGCAACTACGACGACAACGATGAGGTAAGCGCAGCGGTGCAAAGTTTTTCGCGTGATAAAAATGTCAACGCCGACAATTGCACTGTTCATTTTGCACGCGGTTTTCCCAGCGCTATTGTGAATATTTACACATGTGTGAGTGTGTATGTGGCTGCAATCCTCGGGACTTTGGGGCCGGCCAGTGACACGCCATAAGTTCAAAGCCTTCGAAAGCTAAAACGAAATTGCAAAAGAACAACGAAACCGGCTGGCGGCTAAAAAAACGAGAGAAAAGAAAACATGTAAAACACACTCACACAAAGACACATGAACACACGTATACACGTATGTGTATATACACAACGTCGCGAGAGACGTTGCAAATAAAAAGAAAATGGCGGGCGGCATTTTTCATTGTTTTATTGATTTCACTTGTGACTGTACCTGCAATTTACTTATGTTTTTTGTTTGTTTGTTTACCTCGTTCTCCCCTTCCGCAGCAGATTACCGAGCCAGAGCAGCTACGTAAGCTGTTCATTGGTGGCCTGGACTACCGCACCACTGACGACGGCTTGAAGGCGCACTTTGAGAAATGGGGCAACATTGTCGATGTGGTCGTTATGAAGGATCCGAAGACAAAGCGCTCTCGTGGCTTTGGGTTCATCACCTACTCGCAGTCCTACATGATCGACAATGCCCAGAACGCTCGTCCCCACAAGATCGACGGCCGCACCGTCGAGCCGAAGCGTGCTGTACCGCGCCAGGAGATTGATGCCCCCAATGCCGGGGCCACAGTTAAGAAGCTGTTTGTGGGTGGCCTACGTGACGACCATGACGAGGAGTGCCTGCGAGAGTACTTCAAGGACTTTGGGCAGATCGTCGGCGTGAATATCGTGTCGGACAAGGACACCGGCAAGAAGCGCGGATTCGCCTTCATCGAGTTCGACGACTACGATCCCGTTGACAAGATCATTCTCCAGAAGACACACACCATCAAGAACAAGAGCCTCGACGTGAAGAAGGCCATAGCCAAACAAGATATGGATCGTCAGGGCGGCGGTGGAGGCGGTGGAGGTGGTGGCGGTGGAGGAGGTAGCAGCGGCGGCGGTGGTGGTGGTGGCCGTGGAGGCCCTGGTGGACGCGTAGGAGGCCGTGGCGCCGATCGCGGTGGCCAAGGGGGCGGCTGGAGCAACAATCGACAGAACGGCGGCGGAAATTGGAACGCCGGTGGCGGTAGCTTCGGCAACAATGGCAACTTTGGCAGCAGCCAGGGCGGTGCCTCCGGAGGCTGGAATCAGCAGAGCGGCGGCAGTGGTCCCTGGAACAATCAGGGCAGCAGCGGCGGCTGGAACAACGGCGGCGGCGGTGGTGGCTACGGAGGCGGAAATAGCAATGGAAACTGGGGAGGCAATGGCGGTGGCGGCGGCAGTTTTGGCAATGACTACCAGCAGAGCTATGGCGGCGGCCCACAGCGTAGCAACAACTTTGGCAACAGCCGACCTGCTCCATACAGCCAAGGCGGCAGCGGAGGCGGTGGCAGTTTCAACAAAAGTGAGTCCCCATTCGTGCAACACGAGGCGGGAAATCGTTTAACAGAATCATATTCTGTCCTTGCAGGTGCAAACCAAGGAGGCGGTGGCCAGGGCTTTGGAGGCAACAGCTACAACACTGGAGGAGGAGGCGGCCAGGGTGGAAACATGGGCGGCGGCAATAGACGTTACTAGACAAGGTAAATATTGCAATAGAGTCAATTAGAGCCAGCCGGGCCGTGTGCACGCAGCTCTGTATGTGTGTAGAGCGCTCGGAAACGGACACTTGTCGTCGTTGCAGCTAGCAAAAGAAAACCATTCATGTGAATCGCTGAACTCTTAAAACCGCTAATGCAAAATTTTCTCCTTTCTCGCAAATAGGTAATCACATAGAGAGTCAGTTCAAGCTTCAAGCTAGACAAACAGGCAGTCTAGGCGCAGGCAGACACAGACAGGCACAGGCAGAGGCAGGCATTCAGTGACAGTGTGACAAGTGTGTGGGCGAGAAGAGTGTGTCAGAGAAGGCAGACAAATACAAGAACAAGTAATACAATGCAAGAGAACAGCAAACAAACAGTTATGATATGCAGTTTTAAGCCCTCAAACCCCCCTGAAACGCGTACCTTGTGCGTTTGTGTTAATAAGAGCCACGAAAAAGCCAAAAACAAGCAAAACAAATCCTCACTCCACTTGTCGACAGCTTGACTGCTGCTGTCTCTCTCTTTATAAACAACAATAATATCAATTCATGTATAGGATTTTAAGAACCTTGAACGCTTAGTTTTAACTATATTAACAAGAAAAACGATAACGAAAACAAAAGAAAGAAAACCAAACAAAACAAAAACGAAAAATATACTAAACTACATTTTATTTTATGATCAATTTGACTACCAAACACCACCACAACAACAACAACAGTAACGAGAATAATGAATAATGAATGCAGCGTTAAACAATCTCGTTGGGCACGGGGGCTGCGGACAGGTAGAGTACCCTTACCCTTAGCTTTTACTGTGTGTGTGTGTGTGTGTGTGTGTGTGTAGCTCGTCGGAGGCGGCCGGCCTACTTCACCGCCATTGAGGCAGGTTGCTGTCCAAGCAACGTGGTATACCTCCATCCCGCCTCAGATACATAGATATACAGAGATGTGCTCTTTTTACGTTTCATTTTTTGTATTTTGTAGCGGATGATGAGCGGCATTACACAAAGCAATCAAATAGAAAAATATTTTATAACACCATTTTGTACATTTAAGAAATTTTATATTATTTATATATCGTATACACGAAAGAGAATAATACTACTATCCAAACCCAAAATTCCCGGCAGCGAGTTAAGCAAGTCTTGTTCTCTACCCAGAATTTAATGAGCCGTAACACCCACTAGACCTACTGAAAGGAAGGCAAACAATATGCTCGTGTAAAACGAAACATACCAACTTTGTTAGACCCTAAGATGTAGAAGTATGCTACCGATACACAAGAAATCCAGCAAAACAAACAAAAAACATAAACTGTAATTAGTTCGTTACGAGACCAACGAAGGCGATAAGAAAATAAAATTCTACTGAATGTTACCCACCCGAAAACGACTGCAGGAAGAGAATCCTCCTACTCCTACTCCCCCCACACACCAATGACAGGGAGACTGTTGGCGAGAGCCACAGCTCAGCGGAGCAGGCGCAGGCGATCAGTGAAATGAACCTACAGGGTAGCAAGGGTAACCTAGACAACGTAGTAACGTGGCAGACAACCCGGTCAAAAAGAAAATCTAAAATCCCTATAAAAACAATGCAGACTGCGTACTAATGCGTTACGTATTTCTTTGCAAGACTGGCTGGGCTGGAAGGATGCCCCTGCTCCTGCGCTCAATTCGAGATTCGCTTCGTTCGCACTTCGGTTACGAAAATATCAAAAGATTGTAGAGGCGCCACACCAGAGCGAAGCTTCTGGATTCACTTTGGAATCTGGTTGGCAGCGATCTTTGCCCTAAAGGTAAGTACAGGTAACTGTAGGTAATTATTAACCTAACCCCCCATGTATTATACATATATAAATCCAGTCCGTACATAATGCTTACAACTGAATAAAAAGAAACACTTTTCTCAAATAAAACAATGCATTTTATTATTTAATCGGGGATTACAAGGGGACCTGTCACAGCACGAACAACGCAATTTTGTGTATGGTGCGTACAAATACTTCTTGTAGCCAACGTGCGCCAGTTTCGTAGATGCTAAATATGCACAATAACCCATCTAATGATTAGATTATATTCCAATAAAAGTACTACGCCTGCATGGATATCTCAAGTTACTTTTTAACAGAATTTATTGGTCGAATTTCAAATGCGAAAGTGGAAAAAAGAAAGAACTTTGTCCAGATTCTGCACGAATATTCAAGAACTTTGAAAACGACTAGTCGAACGGGGAGAAGTCAACAGATTAAACATGGCCGACCCAGAGTTGTATTTGCTTAAGCTAACTGACATGCACGTTCTCGTCTGACGTTTGAAACCTTTTCCTTTTCAATCAATTCATGTCATTCACTTTCTCGCAACACTTCAGACTAGTTTATCTGCATTAGCTCCCATTTAATTCGGTTTAATAACAAAAAATGAATAACAAACGCAACTGCGATGGTGCTTTTCTCACCAAACACGAGGTAAATATTGTCGTTGAACAAAAGTGGGCCACGATTTAGAATTTGCTTTGCGCTGCAACAATACCATTTTATTTTCTTGAGCAGCGCGATGGAGTAACCGAAAGCAGTGACAATGCTACCTCAACCCCAACAAATTCGACAGTCCAGAACGATGAGCACTTGCACAAGATATTTATTGGTGGTCTGCCCACGCAGACTTGCCCGGACACTCTGCGCGAGTACTTCTCGCAGTTCGGCGCAGTGGCAGATGCTGTGGTCATGCGCGATCCCGTGTCCAATCATTCGCGCGGCTTTGGTTTTGTCACTTTTGTCGATCCGGGCTCCGTAGATAATGTGCAGAGCACCAAGCCACATGTTATTGATTACAAGTAAGTGGAAAACAAATGAAAAGCAGAAACAGGAGGTCACTCAACACTTTTTCTCTGTGCAGAACTGTGGAGACCAAGCCCGCTCTGCCGCGGCTGGAGTTCAACAAGCCGCCCGGTAGGGTCGGTGACCAGACCAACAAAATCTTTCTGGGTGGCCTGAAGGATTGCCACGATGAGTCCGTCATCCGCGAGTATTTCTCAAAGTTCGGCGACATCATGAGTGTCAAGCTGCTGGTAGACAAGGATACTGGACGCAAGCGTGGCTTTGGCTTTCTGGAGTACACGGATATCGACAGTGCCGAGAGAGCTTTGGGTATGTGGCTTTGGTTCCTTAACTCGGCGATATTTCAACCATCCAATTACAGTTCAGAGCAAGCCCATTATCAATTCAATTATGATCGAGGTGAAGAAGTCAACTCAAAGACCCGAATCGGGCAAGCGTCTTCGCATACCCGTTGGCGGTGCGGCCCGCGCTGGCTACGTGCCACCACAGCCAGCCATGTTCGATAGACACTGCTACAATGTACACTACAATTCGTACATGGCACAGTGCACCCTGCCGCCTTCGGCCTACAGCAACGGCTGGGCCTCGTATGTCGAACCAACCATTGCACCAACAATGAACAGGAATGTTATCTACCATGCTCTACCACAGTCCGTCAGCCATGGGGCTCATTCTGCATACAATGCAGCCCAAATGTCGGACCGCAGCAATCTCATCGAATGTGTGCCAAAGACCGGACCAAAGCCTCACCAGACTCCGACCCATCAGCGTCCCACGAACGATTACAAGTCGGTTCAGGCTGCCGCTGCCACTGCCGCCGCTGCAGCTGCCGCATTGGCTACGGATAATGTGGTTGATGTTGGCGCCGGAGGTGATGCGGCTGTTGCTATGGACACGAAGTGGCAATCGCTTGACCATTCCAGTAGCTTCATACGCTAAAAATTCAGATTCCCTGCTCGCATATGGCACATGGCATATGGCGGAGTAAGTTCATAACTTTTAATTATTATTATTAATTTTTTCTAAGCCTGTACCTAAACTTGCAGGCATTTATGGCTGTCAGCGGGCGATACTTTCATTGATTGGTTCAGCTCATGACCAAATTTACTGGCTTAACCTTTGTTGAATACACCGAAAAACACGAAAAACTCTAAGAGAACGAGAAATGAAGAGGCTACACACGAACCTAAGAGCGAAGCATTCACTCGCAAGGCGATTGAGGTTATTATTTAATGTAGCTAACAATTATACAACCAATTCAGAATATAATAAAAAATAAATTTAAAATATAAATCAACTCGCATGGAGGTTGATTTGAAAGTACTTGAATGGAGATGGGTTCTCCTGATACCAAATAAATATTGTAAACACTATCAACCCAGTATTAGGTCTGAGACCTGCACCTTTTGCAGGAGTACCAAAAAATAGACCTATATATTTTATGCACTTAATATAAATCCACTAAGTTAGGTCTTCCCCTGCCTGTCGATTGATTAAGACAACTCTGTAGACAAGCGTTTCTGTTTTTTTTTTGAGACTTAAAACCGTAAACTCTTTCTTTATTTCAACTATTTTTGTTGGATTGGTTTTTTGTTTTGTTTTTTTATTTCATTTTCACATAATGTATTGCGTGAGTGAATTGATTTGCGTAATTGTTTTATATCTGAATCGCTATAAAACGCACCACTGAATTGTTTGTGACTCTGGATTAGAATTACCCGTTCTTTGAGTTCGTTTTTTTTCTTTTGTTAATTAATTGATTAAAATTATGCAAATTGTTTGCAATTGCTTGGCTTGTGCGCATCAATTTCATTAAATGCTAAATGCTCAATTTGTTCAACTCGAATCGAATATGCGAGGGAAATTCAATCACTCACAACAAACTCGTAATTAAAAAATAATAATCATTAATCTACGTTTGTGGATTCAATATTTGATTTCATTTGACCAGAATTTTTGATTCGAGTTTTAATGTAAAAACAAAAACAATTGAACTGTTAGAAAAATGTTGAGTAAAGGTAAGAGGGAAATAGCGAAAGATAAAAGACTAGAACAAAATAATAATAATAGTAATACAAATTATGGGTTTGTTTGTTTTTTTCTGGTAAACACGTGAATCATTCTTCTTTTTATTATTATTATTATAATTATTTGTATTTGTATTTGTAATGTGTGTACATATAAATTAAATTATAATTAAGTGTGTTCCTCTAACATCATTCTCTTTCTATGTGTTATCTCCGTTTAATTAGAAATGAGCATATTTTTTACCTCCCGTTGGTTCGTGGTTCATTCATTCGTATAACTCTTAAGATACATACATTTCTTTTCATTCATTAGTACCGCGGATCGATGTGTGTGTATATGGTCTTTATGGGAAGCACTGTTTTGTAGCACTGGTCGTGGAGCTAACATTTGAACACTAACATTTTGCGTCTTACCGAAAAATGTACTAAAATTGCTTTAGACCCGCACAACACAGTGCCACAAAGTGCTGGGCTGAATGGCCGGGCTCTGTCTGTGTGAATGGAGACTTGTGTGTGGGCTTTTAACTATTACTAGAAATTAATTGCTGGAAAATAGTATTTAGAGCTCCAGAGCGATTGTCTGGGGCAGGCAGGCAGGCGCCGCACAACAAACAAAAACAAAAATGATATGAGAGTTTTAGCTTTAACAAATCAGGAAATAACTTAATGAAATATTCAGACGCCTGCGGCAAAAAACTCGAAGGGTTCTCATACAATTCGGAAAGGCTTTAGTTTCGCCACTTCACTACTCCTCCTCCTCCCATCGCTTGTGGCTGCAGTTATATAAATATAAATATATATATTTATGTATATTTAGATTTCTTTTAAGTCTAAAAGTTAACATTAAATTATATGATTTGTTACATATATGTTTTTGTATATACTTTTTGTTTTGTTTTTATTTTTGTTACATGTTTTCTTGTTTTGCATTGAGAAAAATGTTAGTAGCTTGTGTGTCTGTCTGTCTGTCGTCTCCTTCTCTATCAATAGGTTGGTTTTTCTGTTATTTTGTATTCGTTTCTCCTTTTTTTGGGCTTTCTTGATTTTATTTAAAAAATATGTACTAAATTTTAGTTCACAACTGCGTTGGAAACACCAAATTGTTAAGTTGCTGCTTGACTTAGTTTTGGTTTACGATCTTGAACTCGTTGCGGAACAACAGAAATACATAGCAAACAGTTACAAACGAAAAACCGATGCAGATTGCAGTCCATCGTCACGCCCTTTGCTGCGGCGCCGGCACCGCATCGGCCCTCACACGCTCCACAATTCATCCATTCAAATCTCTCTACAGACTAGCTAGTTAAACGCTTTAAAGTGTTGCAAACTAAATTTAAGTAGCAAAAGCTTGCAGGCTCTTTTCTTGAATGCGGCGGACTCTGGGCGCAGCGTCTCGTTTCTGCCACTAAATGGATTTCCTGCTTTATGTTCTTTCTGCCAGATCTTATTGCTTTACATTTTTCTCGTATTACCATTTCTCTTTTTATTTACTTTTATTTTCACTTTTTTTTGTTGTTTTGTTTGTTTCGTTTTTAGATTAATTTTTTTCAAGTCTTTCTTTTGCTCTTTTTTATTGCATTTTACAAATGTTTTTCATTTTTTTGTTTGTTTTTTGTTTTATGTTGTTTTTTATCTTTAGCTAAGTTTCTTTAAGTTTTTGTTTTTCTCTTTATTTCCTTCATCATTTAGCTTAAGTAGATGTTTTATTTAATGACAAACTAACGAAAAATATTTGCATTTCTCATCCACATTCTATCGCAATTTGCCGACAACTTGCATGCAAATTTGGGTTGATTTGGGTTACATTTTCGAAGATGATAGCCGAACGAACGAGAGCTCAAATTAAGAATTACATTTATGCTAATATGAGTGTGTGTGTGTGTGTTTGGTGTGTGTATGATTGTGGGGGTGGGCTGATGACTGAGACTTAAACATAATACACTTTGAGAGTACGGTGAAAAGATGGTTGGCCTGCAAAGCCGGGGGGCCTTTCTTTTTCTTCTTTTTTTTCGATTCACAACTAAGATTTGCACATAAATTTAGTTTTGTTTTTGTTTTTGGCACGAACTGGCTGATAAGCGGGCTCAGACCCAATTGAACTAAGGCTAAGGACTAAGGCCCCGAAGCTTGTGTCATTTCACTTGTGCAGCTTAACGCATACGCCTCAAGCAAGTTGTTGTGGCCCTTCTCTTAGATTTTAAACTCTTTTCTCTTACTCCGACTACAGGCCGTCTCTGTGTGTTGTGTTGTGGTGTGTATGCCTGCGTGTTTGGTTTGGTTTTTTGTGTTTTTGTGTGTATTTATGCGACGCTGAATGTTTCATTTGATTGCTTTGTGGAAGTAGTCGATGTTCTAAACGTTGGGTTCTTGTGGTTGTTGTTTGTTGGTGTTTCTGCCGTCTGCTCCAGGTTGGGCACTGTCTTAACGACGTCCGTAGTTGCCGCCAGCGCCGCCGCCACCACCACCAGACTGTCCATTGCCGGCACCGCGCAGCGGTCCGTTGGACTGATTGCTACCACCGCCGCTGCGGTTATCGTTCCGTGGACCAAAGCCTCCACCACCCAGACGCGGAGCTCCATTACCACCGCCAGTGCGCAAGTTGTTGCCACCGCCGCCGCCGCCGGCATTGTTGCGCATCATGCCACCAGTGCCATTGTTGTTATTGCCCATTGGTCGCGATTGTGGTCCATTATTACCACCCAGACGTCCACCCATGTTGCTATTGAGGCTATTGCCGCCGATGGGTTGACGGGGTCCCATATCATTACGCAGACGAGGTTTCTTCTCCTCCACGTTGAGCTTTTGGCCATCAGGTGAATTTTCAGGGAAGTAAAGGGGCTGCAAAGAGATTCAACATAAAAAACTAATGCACTTTGGGCTACTTGAAGGTTACTCACGCAGTTGGACAGACACTTTTGGACAGCCTCGGGATCGTCATAGGTGAGAAAACCATAGTTCAGCGGACTGCGCATGCCCGGTGGCACTTTGTTGCCAGCCTTGGACAGAACGCGCAACTCCAGCACATTTCCAAAGCGCGAGAAGAGTTCGCGCAGCTCCTCCTCGCTGGCGTGATGCGGTATGTTGCCCAAGAACAGCTGCTGATTGTCACCGAACTGCTGAGCATTGCTCGGACGACGCTGCTCAAAGTCTGTGCAAAGGAAACGAAAACGTTAATTGGAAATACACTCTCGAAAAAAGAGTTGGTCCAACTCACCACCACCCTTGTTGTTGTTGTTGTTATTGTTGTTCCTGATCGAGTTATTACGCTGTGGTAGTGGTCCGCCGTTGTCCAGACGCGAGTTTCCATTGGTATTGTTATACGAGGAAGCTGTGGTCGAGTAGCTCACTTGACCGTTTCCACTGCCGACACCTGCGGACGAGGACGTGTATGTGTTGCTGATCGACTGCTGCTGCTGTTGCTGCTGCTGTAGCTGCTGCTGTTGCTGCAGCACAGCGTTGACGAAGCCGCTTGGCGAAGAGGAGCTGGACTTGAACAGATTGGCGTACGTCTTGGGCTCGTTCTGCTGCTGCTTGGCCGCCTCGTACTTCTCCTGCTGCTGCTGCTCGTGAATCGTCTTGAAATCCTCTACGGGTGTAGGAGGCTTCTGCTGCTGACGAGCTGGAATCTCGTTAATGCTCTGGCTGACAATGGGCGTGTTAATAGGCTCTTCGGGCTCAACCAGCGACTGCAGAGGCTGCTGCTGAATGGACTGCTGTGGCGGCAGCTGTGCCGCCTGCTGCTGCTGAATGAGCTGAGGAGCCACCAGTGGCGACTGCTGGAAGCTCGTGGACTGCACTGGCACGATGCCCACTGTCGAAGGCAAGACTGCTGCCACATTCGGCTGCTGCTGCACCAGCGGCGAGACACTGGGCGCCACTAAGGCCTGGGGTGGAGCCTGTTGTTGCTGCAGCTCCTCGTGCGACACAACTCCGTTCTGAACGGGCTGTTGCTGAGCTGCAAACTGCGCCGGCAGAGGAACGGCGGCCGCCTGTGGAGCAGGTGGCAAGACAGCATGAGTACGTCCAACGGCGGCACCAACCGGTAGGTAGATGATTTGCTGCGGCGCAGCACCACCGGCAGCTCCGGTAGCGACCTGCTGCTGCTGGGCCACCACCACCTGAGCCTGGGCAGGAAGCTGTTGCGGTGCCGGCTGGGCCACGTCTCCTACAACCTGTACGGACTGATCCACAACTGTGCCCACCTGCACCTGCACATCGTGCTCTTCGTCGTTCTCCGACCGCGATTCGCCATCCTGCTCGTCCTCGATGTACAGATCCTGGTAGCGGAAGATGTCGTTATGTACATAGTACTTCTTAGGGGACTGAGCGGCCAGCACGAAGGTTTGAGTGAAGCGGCGCATTGGCTGGCCGTCGTTGGAGAGCTCTCCAGTCACCTGGACCACGACGCCGTTGCCCAGCGTTGCCTGCGCGTCCACCTGGCTGATCTTGGCGTGGCAATCATTGAAGTTCAGCTGCTGAATGCGATTGTGGATGTCGCGTTGGCCAATCACCAGCTTCGAGTCGCCGTGGATGTACGACGATTGGTTGTTGTAGAAGCGGTGCAAGTGGTTGGGTGCCTTGTTCAGCAGCGTGTAGTACTGACGCACGAACTCGCGACCCACCGACTGGGGCGAAGGCTGCTGCGATTGGGTCGCATCCATGACCATTGCTAGGGTCCTCTCAAGCTATCAACACTTGCTTTCGGTTCTTGCTGATACTCGTAATGCACTACGGAGTCTCAGCAGTTTTCAATAATTTTCTCTGCAACGATGCCAAAAAATAAAAATTTTATAAAAATAATTTAACAAAATGCTTGACAAATAACTGGGTCGGGTCGGTGTATATTCCTCGAATGGCTCTCCTTTGAAAAAAAAACCTGAGAGCAGAGGCGAGGGCTACTCTGTTTTGGTGCAAAGGAGGGGACGTCGGGTTGGACAGGTCGCCGCAACAGCTGCCTTAACGGTAAACGTTGTGGGCGTGTTCGTATCAGCTTACATTAAAAGCAAAAGCATACACAACACACACACATAAACATGCAGAATGTAAATGAATCAGTGTACAGTGAGGACTGTAAAGGCGAAACTGCCAGAAGTTACTGTGACACAAAGGGTCACCTATGGAACTGAGTTTGCCGCAGCGCACATAAAACCGACGCAGCGCGGTGCAGTGTGACCCACTTTTATGGCACAACTCACACGCACACAGACACCCACAGCAGAATATGGGAAACTTCGTGCAAGCAAGACAGAGTGCAGCTGTCACCGCAATCCACGGTGTGGTGTGTGTGGTTGAATTTCTTGTGCATGTGTGTGCTTCAGAAGGATATTTGGCTTGACACGTGCTTCCGACTCGTACGATCTAAGCCCACACAAAGGACTCCACTCCCCGCTATGAGTTTGTCTGTGTATGTGTGTGCTTTCCGAGTAAATGACCTCATACATACAGCACCAACGAGTGTCGCGGCGGGGAGCGTGAACCAAGCAGAGGCTTTTAGGTTATGTTTGCTCGTCAAGGTTGTGTCGCCGCTTTGGATGACTATCTGGAAACGGACACACACAGGCGTGAAAGGCTGCCATGTGTGAGCGTGTCGTTGCGAATTCATAGAACTCACGGAAGACTCCCGAAAATGCACTAGACTTTGCCCTAAATCTATCTTTTAATGAGCGATAATGACCGGGGTGTTAACTCACTGATACTGAAAATTTGTGGGATCCCCACACTTCCCCGTCTGCAAGTGTTAACTGCAGATAACACGTCGCGGAACCAACCCAAATAATGCACAAAACAGTTCAGGCCGCCAAATACACACACACTTGCATACACTAGACCGCAGCACGCATACTGTTATGAGCACGCCACTCTTTTGTGCTCTTTCTCTCTTATTCTCTTTGCCAGCGAACCGCGTGTGTAGGCAGAACAAAGAAGGCGATAAATGAAGACCAATGCTTAAACAAATTTACAAAAACAAATTTTTTTTTTTACATTTTAAGGTTATGAATAGACCAAACATAAGCGATAAAAACGCCGCTAAGGCGAAAAAACTGAACTATCCGGAAATGGGTTTTGGAAATTGTTTTACTTTTTCCGACTGCAGTCGGAGCGGAGCGGGATCCACCCCAATGAAAAATTCGACTCTTTCTAGACCGACGAGACCACACCACACTAGATGAGACAGTCGCAGGCGCTGGGACCGGCACTGGACTTACATACCTTTGCGAATTTTGAAGGCCCCTGCTGCTGGTGTACCGCCTACTTGGGGACGTTTCTAATGCACTAGGTATTGCTTTTGAGTGGTTAGATTCGCTTGATTGTCCGAAATCGACGAAATTTGCACTTTGTGGCGGCTGCTGTTGCGAAGAGCACTTGGTTCACAGAATTTTATATGAAGCTAAAGCACGGGAGGTATGGTTGGTGAGCAATAGGGAGGGTTTGCTCGCGGCCTAGTTTTGTGAAATGCTGAAATATATGTGTACTAAATAATCAGTGCTACTGCAAATTGTAGTTTTGTTAACGAGCACACACGCACACACACACGAAGATAGGTTGGCTTGAAGCAGTCGCTTAGTCTGCTTCTTTTTCTGCTTTGTTGCAAACTTTTTCGATATATAATAACTAACTTGGCAATTCCGCTCGTGCTTTGCGTTTGCTATTTCCGATGTTGGCGATCACAGTTGTTGGTTAATTAAGTTACAATGCGTTGGTTTTGTTTGATTTCAGTAGAAAATAATCGCAAACGCAATGAAATTGGACAAGTGGTGAGAAGAGAGCCGACGTTCGTTCCTCTTTTGCCTCGCGTTCTTGGAGCGTTTTGTGTGGTAGTGTGCGTTTGGAGTGGGAAAATGGTATCGGCCACCAATGGGGTGTGTACACACTGCAAAAAAGGACTAAAAGTTGTCAGCCGATTTTTCAAAACTTGCTATTCGCGCAAGGCCAAAATTATTTTTCAGTGTAATAGCACAATATTGTAATATTTGAATTTGGAGTCTGCTTATATTGATAGAAAATAGGTGAACAAAGATTTAAATTTGATTTTGGTATTTTTCACGTCGTCACAGAAAAATAGCAAACCACTATCGATGTTTTTCAAAAAGTACCAAGTACTTTCTGTTGCTTTTCTACTGTCTCTTTATATTTTCCATATTGCCCCAAAAATTCACATAAAAAGAGCTGAAGTTACTCAGCTGTTAAAGTCTTTACGTTTATAACAAGGAGGCTGCTCTCTTTCAGACTGTCGTTTCATTTAACACTTTCCAATAAGGTACAAATGAAATATAAATGCCAGCAATCCTCCGCAGCCCCATATGCTGAAGCCTCAAAGCAAAAAACAGACAAACCCTAAAAGTTTCAGACGAAAACAAATGCCAACAAAACATGAACATTGGAGCTAACGAGTTCGGCTCGCACCTTGTCATGGTATTTTGTGGTATATTTTCGAGGCCCTGACGATATATTTTGCACGATAAGGCCGTGGTCACACTGTTTTTCATTTTCCGGTCGCGAGTGTGTGAAAAAAAGGTTCTCGTTGAAAATAAACTGAAATTGTGCTGAATTTAAAAGTTTAATTGGCAATAAATTAACTACACACCACCGACAACATGGCCGATAAAATTGTAGACAGCGAAATGAACGGCGAAGATTTCACCAAGGATGTGACCACCAATGACGCGAGCTCTGAAAATGGTGATGCGGCGGGCGCTGCCGGTTCCACCAATGGCTCAGAACACACATCCGCTGCCTCTAACCAGCGGGATGACGACAGGTATTGAAATAACATATTTGCCCACACACCGCAGGCAGGGAGCTGATAAAATGTAGCAGATCATGTGCCCAACTTCAGTTTCTATTGCCTCCTCCTACTCTGTTACGTAAATGCGAAGCTAACGTCGTTGGTCGCGTCGGTGGGAGCGGGAGTCGGCGGAGTCTCCACTCTGCCCGCCGCGCTGACCCCTTTGTTTTCGCTCGCGTGCCTGTGTCTGTGTGTGTGCGTGCGACTGTACCTCAGTCAGCAGCAGCAGCTAAAAGCAGAATATTAATAGAATTTTTTGGAAATTTCGTTCGTAGCCGGGCGCTTATTTGTTTCATTCTGTCGATTTGCTAGAAATGGAATATTTTGGTTTGCTTGCGTTTGGCTTTGTTCCCTGTTCGTTTGCTCTCAATTTGGTAACGAGCAATATTTTCATTAGTCAGAGCTCTGAAGACCTCGGAGCACCCCACGGGAGCACATTTTCCCCCATATGTGAGGTTATGTTCACGGTGTGAGGAGCTCTCCCCACGTTGCCTCTACACTCGCGCGCACTCACACACAAGCACACAGCTGTCTCGCCTTGCCTTTCACTTGCAAAAAAAAAAAAAAAAAAAAATAAGTTTGTATTTGTCAGAGTATTTGTATTTTTTTTTTCGCATTACTCTTTGTTTAGCCATTCGTTGTTATTTTTTCGCTCGTTTTCATGCTCTTCCAGTTCTGTACCCAAAATGGCGGCCATAGTGTGTAGCGTTGTATGTATGTACAAACACAAGCCTATATGCTTGTACGACTGTGTGTGTATGTACGATTGTATGTATGTTTTGCATTTTTCACTATTCCCCTTTGCTTGCCGGCTTCGCGCTCTGTTGGCGAGAGGCATTGCCAGCCGGCATCGAAGCAGTGTTGTTGAGACGGGAAAAATTGAATTTTTGTTGGATACTCCATAATACGATCCCACATTAAATGGGGATTAGCGATAATCCGATTTGGATCGGGCAGATAAACATTCTTTGTTTACCTTTTGTATTGCGTTTCGTTTACTTCTTGGTTTGTTTATGGGAGTATGAATCATTTTTCCATCTATTTATCATTATAATGCCTAAGTTTAATCTTAAGTCAAGTTGTATGAACACGAATCAAGGAAAGCAGCCCGAAAGTGGAAGGAGCAGCGTCAACAAATCATCAAAAATAATGAAAAAATCCAAACCAAAAACAAAACAAAAAACAATACATAGCTTTTCCTGTTGTGTTTGAGCGAACTAACCTTGTTCCTCTCCGGCAGGTCTTGAGAGAAGGCTAAACTATTCTCAAGCAAGCGCAGTCGAGGCGAGGGCCCGAATGGAAATGGGATACCCTTGGCCGAGGATTCGGAGCGTGCGCAACGGATGCCCTCACCTCACCACACGCCGATATTGATGTTGATGGTATTTATCTAACCAAAACTAAAAAATCAATCAATCAATCAGTCAATAGAACTATTGTACACACAAAATTGTCAGCAATTATCTCGAATTTCAAATTGGATCACTGTAAAATATGTAATATCTGTGCCCCGTACAGGAGAGTATCTTAACGTACATATTAAAAACACAATTATTGTTTAAAAAGAATATATATCAGAGAGAGAGACCGAGAACGAGACCGAGTGAAAGAGACTCGCATTTTTTTGTTTTCCAAGTTTTCCAAGCTCAGCCGCTGAAAGAGAGACAGAGAGAGAAAGAGAGAGAGAGTTAAAGGCAGAACAAAACTGAACGTAACGTAACGTAACGCTAACGCTCTCCCACGATACGGATCGGATTCGAAAATGTGCGCCGACATATGCCAATATTGATAGTCTTAAATGCCTCTAAATTCCTCCGCCGTGTGATGAGACTAGACTGTTCCAAATTGCCCGAAATCCAATCCGCAGAACCAAGCCGTTTCTGAACTTTGCCGTTTCTGAAGTGTAACGTACAGCTCGGAATAAATTAAGTATTCTATTCTCTTTACAATTTATAAAACAGACAAATAAAGCAAGTAAAACCAGAATCCAGAATAAAACCTTTGCATTTTTCTCATATCGAATAAAAACTAATTGTTAACTATGTAAAAAACAAACAACAAAAAACCCAAAACAAAACTAAATATTCACTCTTTGCATATAACTTTCGCTCGTTTGTGTCTCTCGCTCGCTATCGAGCTCCGAGTTTGCAAGTTTTTGATACACTATATAAACCGATCAGATCTCTGATTGAGAACAGTAATTAAAGCAATTTTCACTTCAAATTTGGTGAGTTTTTTTTATTCGTTTGTATCCTAGCTCTCTGCCAACAATCTTTTGCAGCCATAAACAAAATGTAAGAAAATAAATTTAAAGTAAATCGAAGAAGAAAATATAAAACACAGCCTATTTACGTTTTCCGTGCCCCCCTAGTTGTCCCTCAAAATGATTTTCCCTTCCCCCTAATCGGTGGAAATAACCCTTGAAGCAATGCCCAACTAAACCCCAATTATTCTCTCACCTTTCGCAGGAAACTGTTTGTGGGCGGCCTCAGCTGGGAGACGACCGAGAGTAAGTATAAATATTATTTAAATACGTATGTATCCAGGGGCTGACCCATGATCTTGTTCATTTACAGAGGAACTGAGGGACCATTTCGGCAAATTTGGCGAAATCGAGAGCATCAACGTTAAGACAGACCCACAGACCGGACGCTCTAGGGGCTTTGCCTTCATTGTATTTACAAACACTGAGGCCATCGATAAGGTGAGCTCTGCGGAAGAGCACGTCATCAACAGCAAGAAGGTTGATCCCAAGAAAGCCAAGGCTCGTCACGGCAAGATCTTTGTCGGCGGCCTGACCACAGAAATTAGCGATGAGGAAATCAAAACCTATTTTGGCCAGTTCGGCAATGTAAGTGTTAACATTTTTACAGGATATTGTTATAATGTTGAATGACAAATTATTGTTCCTCTTTTTTAGATCGTTGAGGTTGAGATGCCCTTCGATAAGCAAAAGTCGCAGCGCAAAGGTTTCTGCTTCATCACCTTCGATTCGGAGCAGGTGGTCACAGATCTGCTGAAGACGCCCAAACAGAAGATCTCTGGCAAGGAGGTCGACGTGAAGCGTGCCACACCCAAGCCCGAGAACCAAATGATGCGCGGTGGTGGACGCGGTGGAATGCGAGGTGGACGCGGTGGCTACGGACGCGGTGGTCAGTACAGTCAAAGCAAAGCAGATCTAACTGCCAAATTGGCATTGATTTTATTCGATTGAACATGTTCCTTAACTGCTTACCAATCTCTCTATTTAAATGCAGGCTACAACAACCAGTGGGACGGTCAGAGCTCATACTCTGGCTACGGCGGCTATGGCGGCTACGGTGGTGCCGGTGGCTACGGCGACTACTATGTCGGCGGCTACTATAATGGATATGACTACGGTTATGGTAAATACAACAAACAACATAATAATGCTCATAGCAACTATTACAATAACAACACGTCGAGTAATTACCACCAAAACAAGAACAGTAGCAGCAACTACCAGCAGTTTTAAGTAGCCACAAGTCCACCACAGACAGGCAACACCACAACCACAGCAACAACCACCAAGATTACTTACCAATTATTACTTTGCCATAGACCTGAATCGAAATTTTCCACGTTGTTGTGTTTCCCAAAAATCAAACAAAAACTGAGAGAAAAACAAAAGCAAAAGCAAAAACAAAAACTTAAAGCGTTGTGCTGCATATTTGTATATGCACGCGTGCACCTTCCTGTATACATGTGTGTTTGGCGGGTGGTGGCCGGGTGCATATACGATAACAACAACAACAGCAGCAACAAAAAGAACAACAACCAAAAACAAAACAACAACAACTATACAACAAGAGCAACGTCGCTAAAAACAAGAAAACTTTTTAAAAATAAAATACTAATTATAAAATTTAATCATATTCAGCGAAGAGTCGAACACACAGAGATTGCAAAATGTCGACTTTCTTCATTTATATAAAAAAAAAGCAAAATTAGTAACTTTATACACACACATTTATATATGTATATCTAAAC